TGTGTGTGTGTGTGTGTGTGTGTGTGTGTGTGTGCGTGCGCAGGTTTAGATGCACGTGGTTTCCTGTTCGGGCCCCTGCTCGCCCAGCGGCTGGGTGTTGGCTTCGTCCCGATCAGAAAGACAGGCAAACTGCCCGGGACCACTACATCTGTGTCGTATGATTTGGAGTATGGCAAGGTGAAGAACACAACACACATACTAAGCCGTGCTGCTCCTCTACAGAGTCTCACCTATTTTCTCTGCTGACCGTGCATGGTTCACAGTGAAATACACAAAATGATACTTCAATACATTTCAATGTCTATCTGTTGGATGTCACAAACATACTATAAATATTTGCAATACTTCCTGTACCATTCATTATTCAGAGGGTTGGTGGTTCAATCCCAGTCTCCTCTGTTTCACATGCTGAAGAGTCCTTGAGCAAGATACTGAACCACAAGTTGTCCATGATGGCTGAGTTGGCAGTGTGTGAGTGATGTATGAAAGAAAGTGCTGCACGTGAACGCACTGTATGAATTGTGAATGGCAAAACTGTACCACTTTGAGTGGTCATCAAGACTAGAAAATACAGACCTTCTGTTAACCATGTAAGTGACCTCTAGTATTTCTATTTATGGAATCCCCATTTGTTTTAACAAGATTTGTATTGTTTTTGTAGGACAGGGAAGATTCATGGCATCATAGCATAGTGTCCAGGCATTTAGTTGAGTACATAGGGCTACTTTTATTTGAGGAAATACAGAAGTCATACCAGAAACCCACTTTGCAATTCTTCTGCAGATACACTTTCCTATGTGGACAGAAGCCCGCGAGATGCAGCTGCTTTAAACAATGCAGCGATCAGACTGAGAGACAGTTTTTACAACATGGCGGTAGCAATGTTAAATGCAAATGTTAATATCTGACTCAATCATGTGTAATTTCAGCTGCAGGCCACGTGCAATAACACTGTGGGACTTTTAATCCTTTTCTTTCCTGTGCAATAAACACTTTCGGGGCATCATTGGTGCAATAAAACACTTTTGTATATTATCCAGATATATCAGTATACTATCAGTATATAGTATTTATTCTGTACAGTTTGCCACTTCCTCAAAATAAAACACTTAGTGTAATATCTTTTTATAACGGTGCAACATAACACTTATGCATATTACCTGTATGTATCAGTACATTATTGGTACAATTATTTATTTGTATAGTATACCTGCATCTTTAAATGTCTTCGGTCCTTGAATCCCCTTATTTTTATTTCAATTTGTGTAGTGGATTGTGTCTTGTTAATTGTATGTTAGCTTATTGTGTCAGATAACTGTGAATTGTATCTGTGATCACAATTCACGTGTAAAATGTTTCTATTTATGCCCCTGATAGTAGTGGGAAATGCAGTACAATGCAGACTGAAGTGGAAAACGTCAGCTGTCAAAACAAAAGACAACGGTTAAATGTTATTCTCCACCACAGGTTATGTCTGCTGGAGCAGTAACAGTAGCCTCTAGTAGACTGAAGGAGCTGTGATTTGAAAGGAGGACCTTGTGAAGAGCAGTGGCACCGATTGTTCAGAGAATCACAGGGATTCATTTGACCTCATTATTGTGTTTAGATAGATAGATAGATAGAT